GCAATGTTTATGATAAACAGATATGTTAGTGAATAATGTTAAAGGAAAACAGTAGACAAGATTGTACATGTAGCTCTAACATATATGTAAAAACCAAACAGTTTTGAGTGGAAAAAAGGCTTGAGAAAAACGTATCATAATATTAACAATGATTATCTTTGGAGTGGTAGGAATATAGGCTATTTTTTCATTTTTCTGTTTTTTTTTTTTTTTTTGAGCTTCTCAAAATAAATATCTTATTACTTTTATAATAAAAAAGACTAATTTCTACAAATAAAAATTATTTTGTTTTACGGTCTTAAAAAAGAAACAAATTTGTCTGGACTGTTGATATTAGAGATGACAGAGATGATGTATTTATAAAGGCACACACGGAACAATAAGCACCTCACTTGGTGTGGCGATGACAGGATAATAAATTAGTTGCCCAAAACACAGTAGTTTTTGACAGCATGGTCCCTGAGAGAGAAAACTCAAGAATGAAATGTGAAAGGATGCCAAGAAGAATTAGTATGAGAAGCAGCTGTCATTCCACAACGCAGAATACTCACCTGCCATCTGTGTTGTAATGCAGTTCCATCACGGCTCCACTGTGTCCCTTCAATGTAGCATAGTTATCACAGTCACCATACACATTCCACAATACTATTAGGGAGACAGAGGTTTTGTGAGCATTACTAGGCAAAAGAAAACTCATTACTAGCCACGGAAACGGTACTTATGAATGTACCAGAACAACAGTTCTGAAATTATACTCCCTTGGAACACTACTGGTTCCACCAGCTAGACCAATTCTCCAGACACTAAAACAAAAATAAAACAGTATTTTCACTTTTCATGAAGTTAAAAAAATTTCGTTAATGGATATAATTTTTTAAATCTTAAGTTTTTTTCTGTAATTTTAAAAACGTTGACACTCACTACTACTTGTCTGCTCTGAGTATATAAGCAGATGGCAAAATGATGGCACTTATGGAAAACCTAGGAAGCTGCAACTGACTTGAAAGTCACATGGCAATGATTTTATACTACATTTACTCATTCCACAGGTACTAAGTACCTATTACACACCAGGTGCTGGGGTAAAATGAGGTACACAAATAGACATAGCTCCTATCCTCAGGGAGCCTGGTCTAGCCAACAGTGAAGTTTGGTGAGTATTATTAAGGAGCACCTTCACACAGGATAAGGTACATATGTAGTTATTTTTCTGCTGATAAAACTGTTTCTAGTTTGTTTGATGAAATTAAGCATATCAGTAATTCAAGGATGTTCTGCAAAGATCCCTAAGCCTTCCAGATACTCGGCCGACCAGTAAATTTAAGGATCATAGAACTAGAACATCTAAATCAAAACAGTGAAGACAGATATCACCCACCTTGAGGTACAGAGTTATAAGCAGAGCCAAAGGACTCAATTCATCTCACAATGTGGCAAATGATGACAGAAGGCAAAAAGTCAGATGTTTCTGTTATCTTCTCTCTTGCTTTTCCTAATGACTCCCCAAACTGATTTTTTCTACCTATTCCTCAAAAACGGGTATTCCCGACTAGTAGCTGAGAATTTGGTAGCAGATCCTAATGATGTATAGGTAGATTATCCAAGCGAGTTGTCACTTTAGGATCCCCTCCTTCCTTCCTATATGCTAAGATTCTGAGAGTGGATCAGGAGGAGAGCCTCATACCTTTGGGAAAAGTTCTCTATTACTCCCATTAACCTGTTAAACATGGATCTCTTATCTTGCAAAATCAGCTCAAGATTTGCCTCCATGAGGAAGATATTCTCAAACTACAGCAACTCACCTTCTAACTAGTAACGTAATTCCTTCTGTATTTACCACATGGACCCCAAGTTCTACACCCAAGATCATTCAGCATTTTCTTGATCCTATTTTAGCATGTTAGCCGTAGTTTCTCATGTGACCAACTCAGACTGATACCTTCTGTGGCACTGAAGGTTTTAAAAATAATTACTATCGGGAAGAGAGCAATCACTCCAGATTCAAAAACTATGCCTTACATATTAGTCGGTCAAATCCTGCAGATGCTAAGGTGGATCCATTGGGGTGAAACTTGCAGCAGTACACTTCTCCTTCATGTCCTGAGAGAAGCATGATTGGGGCTTGAAGGGAGGAACATCTTGGAGGGCCCTACACAAAAGAGAGAGGTACAGGGTAGTCACTGCATACAGACCAAGGAGGCTGCACAATTGTGGAGGCGGGGGTGGGTGGCGGAAAAAGACAAGGGAAACAACGAGTGAACGAATTTCTTCTGATTTAGAGAATGACAGCTCTTCTCACATAACTTACACCTCCAATTTGATACTCTCCTGCTGAGGTTTCCAGGGTCTACCTGTTATACCAACATTCCTCCTTCCTCACTCTGCTCCTGTCCCATAGCCAACTTTTAATTGCTCAAACATGTTAAGCTCATTTCTGCCTCAGGATCTTTACACTTTTGTTGCCCCTGACAGGAATCCTCTTCCCCTAGATCTTCCTGTGTTTGGCTCCTTTCAAATGTTTCCTCTTCAGAAAGTCTTTCCTGGAGCATTCAAACTCAAGCAGTGCCCCACTGCCCCTCTAGTCCATGAACCCTACTGTATTCCCTCACAGCACTTATTACTACCTGAAATTACCCTCCTTATGTATTTGTTTACATATTTTGTCTTTATTCCCTACTAGAAAAGAAGCTCTGTGAGTGCAGGGCCCCTGCCTGGGTCATTCAACACTGTTTTCCCAGTCTCTAGTTCAATTAAACAATGAATGATTGAGGGCCGGCCCAATGGCTTGGTGGTTAAGTGCACGCGCTCCGATGCTGGTGGCCCGGGTTTGGATCCCGGGCGCGCACCGAGGCACCACTTCTCTGTCCATCCTGAGGCCGAGTCCCACATACAGCAACTAGAAGGATGTGCAGCTATGACATACAGCTATCTACTGGGGCTTTGGGGGGAAAAAAAAATAAATAAAATCTTAAAAAAAAAAAAAAAAGAATGAATGATTGAACTGAGCTTCCCAACAACCCTGCAGGGTACAGATTATTGGGGAAAGTAGTTTTGATTATGGTCGCGACATAAGCCTACTCTTGGGCAATTCACCGAAACCTGGGCTGATATTCTTACTTGTCAGTGGAAGAATAAGTACACTATCAATAATCCCCAAATCTCTTCAGTAATTTCCAGCTTACTCATTTATTAAAAAAATACTATGTGCCAAGCACTGTTCTAAGCACTGGGAAAACAGCAGTGAACAAAATAAACAATGGAGTTTGTGTTCTAGTGGGAAGGAGGGAGGGACAGAGAGAACAACTAGAACCTACAGATGGTGGTACAACAGAAAAAGCAGCAATGTGGGTTAGTGAGTACAAGGTATTGCAATTTAAAATACGCTGGTAAGGAAAGTCCTCACTGAAAGAGAGATATGTGAGCAAAAATTTGGAGATGTGTGTAAACCATGCACACATTTGGAAGAAGAGTATTCAAGTAGAGGGAGCAGCAAATGCAAAGGCTGTGAGGCAGAAGCACGGAAGCCAGTGTCACTGGAGCAGGGTGAGCAATGGAAAATTGTTAGATCAGAGAGGTAAAGGCAAAGCCGGCAAAAGACTGTAAGGATTCTAGTTTTACTCGGAGTGAAGTGGAAAGCCACTGAAAGTTTTCAGCAGAGAGTAACATGATCTGCCAGTTTAGAAGAATTCCTCTGGCTGCTGGATTGAGAATAGACTGATCACATAATAGCAGAAACAGGAATACCAGTCAGGACTCTACTGCAATAATGAGATAACAACATAATAGTATATAATATAATAATAATGATGAGATAATAATAGCTTAGACCACAAGTTAGTGATGGAGGCCATAGCAATTCTGTATATATTTTGAGGACAGCGCCAAACAGGATTTGCTAACCGGCTGGTTGAGGAGTTGAGAGAGGGGGGACACACATGTATTTCTTCATCTGAGCCTAACAGCACGGAAGGAAAGATGTGATCATTATCTCTAACCTACAAGAAATGCAGTTAAGCGCATGGATTCTGGGCTTAAAATCTGTTTCTATCACTTACTAGATAAGAGTTTGTTTTCCCAGCTACAAAATGGGATAATAATGGTTCCTAACTCTTAAGCTGTTACCAAGGTTAAAGGAGTTTTCACATATATAAAGCACTTGGTACAACGGCTCAATGAAGGTTAGCTATTATTCAGTTGTTAATACTAGTGCACAGAAATAAAGGGAAAAGCAACTTGCCCAAAGTCCCAAAGCGAACCAGTATCACTCATTTCCTTCTTTCCTTCCTTCCTCCATCCATTCTACAAACTTTTCTGAATGTTTACGCCGGATCCTGGAAGATTTAGGATGCTAACGCCGGTTTTGAGCTCAAGACCCTTAACTCTAATTCTAACGCCACCTCACAGGGCGGTCGAGACGCCGAAAACCGGCGTCAAACGGGGAAACGTGAGGAGCATCTGCAGGGTGTCGGCCGCTTTTACAACGTTTTCGGCTTTAACTCCAGATACCGAGTCTCGTTCCGCCCGCACAGCGCGGAGAAAGGGCCGCCGCGAGATCACCCGGCGCAGCGCTCCGAGAAGAGAGGAGGATGAGCCGAGGGCGGAAGGCCGCCTGCCACTTCACTCACCGCTTGCAGCAAAGTTCCGGGCGCCGCCTGCTGCTGCCCCGCTCCGGGGCCCGACCCCGCGGCTCCCAACAGCAACTCATGCCGCTGCCGCTTGACCGGGACCAGCGGCAACTCTGGACCCTTGCGCTTCTGCTGTTCTATCATGGCGACAACCGCTCTCCTTAGCGCAGCCACTGACCGCGCCGACACCCTCAGGCACCGCGCGATTGGCTCCGACTTAGTCCTTCCCCTAGAACTTCCGGCTTGGAGGAACCAATCGACTTCCAATATTCCCCTCTGCACCGCCCCCTGGATAGTCTCCTGTTATTGGTTAGCTGTCTCTGATGTCACGAGAGTACGATTCCAGGATTGGTGAATGGAACTGGAGTCCCGCCTAGGCGCGCTGTGTCTTGTGGGTGGAAGCGCGCTGACTGGGTTGCGGCGTTTCGCGCAATGCTGCGGCCAGGGGACCTGCAGCTGACGGCCAGTAAGTACGAGGAATGTCGGGGTGGGTGGCTGCGGAATCTGGAGGCGGCGCCTCGGTGATATGGTCTGAGCCTGCCCATTCTCAGCTGAAGTTCTGATTGCGAGGGGCAGAGGCGGGCCCCAAGGTCCTGGCTCTGGGGTGTAGTAGCCTGGTTTCCTTTCTGTGCTGGAGCAGAGCCTTGGGGGTCGCTGCGGCTGCCTGGGCCCCTCGACGCCGGACTCCTTCAGCAGGCGGCTACTGTGTCCAGTCCGGTGCCGGAGGCCCCCGGGGAGAAACGGTCTGGATCCTCTCTGAGTGAGGAGGCCGACTTGTTTCTGCCACTGATTCTGCAGCCTCTCCTAGGGCCTGCTCTGTGTCCCTGAGAGAAACAGGGACGGAGGAAAAGTCCGACTCTTGCTTCTCCAGAGCAGTCTTGTTGAGAAATTTGGACTTATTCCTGTGAAATAGATCTTCTCCTTAATCGTCCAATTGATATTTATTGGACAAAGCATTGAGGATATGTGGTCCCTGACCTCAGCGGTTCGAGTCTGATGGGGAAAACAGATGTTAAACAATGATCTCCCTGAGAAATGTGAAATAAGTGCCGTCTAGGAGAGGTGCCTGAGGTTATGAGGGCCTGAAATAAGCAGGAAGGCTTGTCTGAGGAGAAGATGCCTGAACTGATGCCTGAAGAAAGAATTCTAATTAGTTGGGTGAAGAGAAGAAAGCAGAATATTCCATATAGAACAGCATGTGCAGAGGCCCTGTGGCAAATGGGAGGAAAATGCCTGAAAGGCACAAAGAGGCCAGTGTGGCCAGTGCAAAGAGAATGAAGGGAAGTATGGTCCAAGATGAAGCTGGAGGCGTGTAGAGGGCAGACCTTGCAGGACTTTGTAGCTTTTATTTGAAGACTGATGGGAAACCACTGAGGGTAGTTTTTTGAGGGGGAGGGAGTGTGTGGAGGAGGTAACTTAATCCCTCAGGCTCAGTAGTGTGAACAGATCTGAAGAGAGATAGATGCAGATAGACCCCTTAAGTGAGCGTTGTTGGCGGTGTGGACTGAAGTATTGGTGGAACTGCAGAGAATTGGACAGATTCTAGAGATATATAGGAGGTAGGGTCAGTAGGACTTGGCGATGGATTGGAGTCAGGGAGTGAAAAGAGAGGCATCAAAGATAACTCTTAGGTTTTTGGCTTATGCAACTGAGTATTTATTTTATTGGTAGGGAAGGGAGAGGTCATTCATGACATCAGGAGGCAATTTGAAATATGGCTTTGCAACTCAGAAGAGAGATTTTTGTTGGAAATATAAATTTGGGAGTAATTTGCATATAGGTGATAATTGAGCCATAGGTGTGGGTAAGATCCCCTAAGTCAGAAGCTTGAGTAGTTCCAGCATTTAATGTCCAAGAACAGGAGGATGAACCTACAGGAGAAGCAGAGAAAAAAGAGCTAGAGAGGAGCACCAGAGGAATGTTGTCTCAGAAACAAGGAAATGGCCAGTATCAGAAACTGGAATTTAAAAAACATGAGAATTGAAAAATGTGTGTTGGCTTTATCATCGTGGAGCTCATGGTATCCTTAGTGAGAGTTATTTTGTTGGTGTGATGGGGCCAGAAGCCAAAGATTCAGGCAAGGGATCGGAGGCAGTGAATCTATAGAGTGTTTTCCATACATATGACTGTAAACGAGAGGAGAGGATGTGGAAGCTGAAGGAGATGAGGAGTCACCAGGAATCCACTTGAGAGGGCGATGGAGAAATTGAATACACAAGAGACAAATTCGGTCATTGATAGTGTTCTAAGAACATGGGAATGGATGGGATGCAAAGTACAGTTAGAGGGAGCAGCCTTGGGAAGATGGACAGCTCCTCCATTTAACAGAAAGGAAGAAGGAAGTGAAGGCAGTAGATATAGGTTGTTCTTATGTTTGGTTTTGGTAAAATGAGTTCCTTTCTCATGGTTTTTATTTTCTCTGTAAAGTGGGAGATAGGATCATATACTTAGAGTGAGAGGAAGTCAGAGATTTGAGAAGGTTGCAGAAGATTTGAAAATCGTTGTAGAGTGTGGGAGAATGGGTTTACCAGAGAGATGTAGAATTGTCGTGCAGAGTTACGGGCCCATTTGAGGTTGGGGATCATAATTTTTTTCCAGCAACATCAGGCTCAATGCAGACATGGAGAAAACATATGCAGATATGGCAAGGACCGTGGATTTGGCTTGCTCAACACACATTCCCACCTCTAATGTGCCTTCTCTTACAGAAAAGTCTGGGGTGCTAAAAACTATTTCCTGGCTCCTTTGCACCTCAGATGAGAATTGAATTTGGAACTGAGTTAAATGTGGAGAGAAGGAGTGTGAGAGGCATCCAGTTTTGCTGGCAAATATTATGGTAGAGACAGTTTCTTTAGTCAGCAGCTTTCTGGTTTAGTGACTTTCTGCAATGATAGCCATAACTTTCTTGATTGTGACAAAGACTGTGTTATTTTTTGGGTTAGGAGTTGTTCCTGGAAGTTCTACCAGAACTTCCTATAGCCCTTCCAGTAGTTTTGTAAGCCGATACCTGGCAATAAATCCTTTTCTGCTTAACCCAGCTAGAATGGGTCCTGATGTCTGCAGCTGGTAGGGGTACTGCCAGATAGGTGAGCCGTAATGACAGAGAGTTAGGGGGAACTCAGGGTGTTGTTTGAATGATAGACTGTGGAATCTAAGCTGGAAAGGGAGAAAAGTTGAGATAAAAGGAGAGGGCTGATGGATTAGAAGAAAATAGAAGTCAATAGATCAGGGTTCTAATGAGGTCAAAGAACAGTATTCTCTGCCAGAGGACTTCCATTTATCCTTAAAGGCCCACTCAGTTGTCACCTTTTAAACTTCCCTGCTTCCCCTAGGCCCTTCTTTTTTTTTTTTTTTTAAAGATTTTATTTATTTATTTTCCCCCCAAAGCCCCAGTAGATAGTTGTATGTCATAGCTGCACATCCTTCTAGTTGCTGTATGTGGGACGCGGCCTCAGCATGGCCAGAGAAGCGGCGCGTCAGTGCACGCCCGGGATCCGAACCCGGGCCGCCAGCAGTGGAGCGCGCGCACTTAACCGCTAAGCCACAGGGCCAGCCCCTACTAGGCCCTTCTTTTCCTTCTTGTTTTCTTAGTACTTTGAACCTAGCTGCTATTTTAGCACTGATCATACTGCATTGTAATTGGTCACCATTATCTCTACCAAACTAGGAAGTGTTTGAGGACAGAAACTGTGTTGAAAAGGGTGGTTTAGTGGCAAGTGTGTGTGGCCCTTGGAATGGCCTAAGATTTGTCTCTTTCTAGCTATGAGTTTTGTACTAGTTACTTCATTCCTGTAAAACAGGGATACTTACTTTGTAGAGTTGCTTTAAGGATTGAAGGAGGTTTATGAAGTGCCTGACATATAAACATCAATAAATGTGCTGAATTGATACTTTAAAGTAGGGTAAAATTAAGTACTTCAGTATTTCAGTAGACAGAAATGTCTATGTGCTTTACACTGTGCTAGGCTCTAGAGATTTGAAGGATATGATGTGCAAGACAATGGCATGCTTGGAAGAATTTCATAATCTAGAAAAGGAAGAAAAAATGTTTGTAAATAGGATTTGAATCCCGTCTCCATCGTTGATAGTTTTGTAATCTTGAGCAAGTTACTTAGCCTCTCTCGTGTCTTAGTTTCTTCATCTGTAAAATGACAACGATAATTGCCTATCTCTTAGGGTGGTCAAAAGGGGAATTAAATTAGTTAATACAAGTAAAGCTTTTAGGTTAATACATGGCAAATAGGAAGCATTCATATATTAGCTATTATTATTAGAGAGCTTGGAAAGGGCCTTGGGGATTATTGCCTGAAAGAACAGTGTGGGGTAGTAGAGTAAGTACAGGTGTTGGGGTCTAGTACAAACGTGGCTAACTGTGGGCAACCTTTGTCAAGCTGACCTCTGTTAGCTCATTTTCAGTTAAATAGGAGTAATAGGCTGAATGATCTCCATAATTCCTTTCAACTTTCACATTTTATGAGTCCATGTTTTGTGTTTTTCCTTTCTTTTTACTATTCTTTCTCTTTCCTGCTTTTGACCATTTTCTCAACAGATCCATGACTGGAGTTTAAAAAAGGAAGAAGCATCTGTCTAAGATAGTCACTCCAAGAATTTGGTGGGAAGAAGGAAGATTGGGTCACTAATTTGGCATTTGATAGTCTCCCATCTTCTGACCCATCCAGCATATTGTGAGGAACTCAGTTTCTTCTCCTACATTCTTTTTTTTTTTTTTTTTTGAGGAAGATTGGCCCTGAGCTAACATTTGTTGCCAATCTTCTTCTTTTTGCTTGAGGAAGATTGTCCCTAAGGTAACATCTGTGCCAGTCTTCCTCTGTTTTGTATATGGGATGGAGCCACAGCAGGGCTTGATGAGCAGTGTGTAGGTCTGTGCCTGGGATCCGAACCCACGAACCTTGGGTTGCTGAAGTGGAGTGTGTGAACTTAACCACTATGCCACCGGGCTGGACCCCCTTCTCCTACCTTCTTTAGACTGGAATGCTTTCTTCCTTTTTCTCTACCTGTGTTTGGCACATTATAAGGCTCTGTTCACTCATTCAAGAAAACTTTGGTACCTGCTGTACACTAGGCACTGGGAACACAAAACCAAATAAGAAATGATCCTTGGTTACGTGTTTTTTTTTTTTCTTTTGTGAGGAAGATCAGCCTTGAGCTAACATCCATGCCAATCCTCCTCTTTTTGCTGAGGAAGACCAACCCTGGCTAACGTCTATTGCCAATCCTCCTCGTTTTTCTCCCCAAAGCCCCAGTAGATAGTTGTATGTCACAGTTGCACATCCTTCTAGTTGCTGTATGTGGGACGCTGCCTCAGCATGGCCGGAGAAACAATGCGTCGGTGCGCGCCCGGGATCCAAACCCGGGCCACCAGTAGCAGAGCGCACGCACTTAACCATTAAGCCACGGGGCTGGCCCCCTTGGTTACATGTTTGAATGAATGAACCCAGACCCTGT